TTTAAAAATTTTATATACATATTGTCTCACAAAAGTATTTAATCATAATAATGTCAAGGAATAATTATTAAAAATTAATTTTGCAGGGAATGATGGTTATATACATGAATTTTAGAAATGAGTGCAAAATTGGTCACGTAATAAATTCTACTCTTTGTAATTGAACTGTGAACTGTACCTTGAGTCATAATTTGGTGTAAAATAGAGGCAACCGCACAAAAGTGTTAAAGTATGATAGATAGTTCATAGTATGATACGAATTGAATGAAGTTCTATATTTCATCCAATTCGTATCATACTATGAAGTAATTCAGCCTAGAAGGAATGATATGGCTTAGCCAACTGGGTTGTAAAAAGGTCAAAGAGACAACAACATTTTAAACTTTTACCGTAGAGCCGTGGTGGCTCAAGGAATAGAGCGCCTCCCAAGGAGGTGAACCGGGGTTCGAATCCCGACAATGGCTGGTTAATTCGAATTCCGCACCCGGCTCTCTCCGACCACAATGCTGGCGTATAAATATCCACCAGCTTGCCGTCAAGCTAACCGGGGAAGATTTTCGTGGTTTTGCTGTCCATGCAACGGAAATGCGGGTTAGTTTCATCAAAAACTCCTCCACAAAGGCAAATTTTTTCCAATACTTGATCCAGCAGTTTCCTTGTTTTCTGGACTGGGTTCAAAGTTACAAGGATATGGAGTTGGACATTGGTAGCCGTGAACTGAAAATTCAATCTGCTGTTCAACGACGGTTATAAAATGAAATAAAATTTTACCATTGCAAAAATTTTTAAGGCATCCAGTTAAGGCACCCACTAGTTTCGACAATTGCTTTTTAGATATCAATACAAAATTTAAAAAAAACTAGTTTATTTATTTTATTATGTGTAAAAGTCCATAAAGGCAGCAAAAACAATTTTACTATTTTATTTTAAATGGCAATTTTTAGGTAAAAAATAAGATCTTTTTATGCATATACGGTAAACACTGTAAAAAAAATTCCACCAGCTAAAACAAAAAATCCTTTATGGTCTTCATTTAGAAGGTCCTTTGAGAACTTTATTTATTTTTTTCTATCAACTATGCTTTGAACTGTTAACTTAAAATCAAGTGCATATACTAAGTTAAGGATTAATGCAGTTAAAATAGCAATTTTTTCAAAAATTTCCGCTCTTGTCTTACCGAAAAAACATGCATAAAATTAAAATTATACTTTTTTCTCTTAGTCTGCTGTTCAAAACATGTGTGCTGTAATCATTAACACTCATAAAAAATTGTAGACAATTATTTTAAAAACAACATGAGATATCATGTTTAATGTTGTGTAAAATGTGAAAAAAAATCTAATTTTAAGCTAAGCGCATTTGAAATCTTAAAATCATTAGTCTATCCACTGTTGTCACCTTGAACAAAAACTGCTATAATTTTGAAAATAATTGGAGTACGAACAAAAGTAATGTATTCTTAGAAAGCTAAGAGTACAGAGATTTTAAATTTATAATAAACACAATTTCAAAACTTTCGCTCAAAATCATGCTTTTGCAGTAGCCTCAGATACTTTAATTTCGGTTAATTTTTCACTAACAACAAAAATGTAAACAAAAATAACTTCTAGTATATGTTCACCGAATTTGAAATATAAATGGATTATTTTATAATTCATTGAAAATTAAAATAATTTTTCGAAAATGTTGGTTTTTAATTCATTTTTCTTTTCCTATAATTGTGGAGAAACCCCGTTACTTAATGTAGCTGGAAAAAGTAATAAAAAGTTAAATAATGTTATTCCAAAGTTATATTTCATTCTTCAAAACTTTTATATACGAAATTAAATATTTTTGCCATTAAATGTAAGGCTCAAGAAAAATGTTTGAGGACGAACATTAAACAAATTTTTAAATGGGGCTTTAAAATACAGAAGAAAAAGATAACGATTGGAACATTTCTACTTGAACGTTAATTTAAAGCATGGATTTAGATTTTTATTACTATGAAGATCATTCCGTAAAACCACCCTTAAAATTTTTTTTTAGAGTTTCTATTATAAAGTTGAACAAACAAGCATGCACATTGGGAGCCCCAAATTAATACATAAGATAGGAGAAGACAAAAACACAATCGATATCTGACGAATTACAGTAGAGAAAGGCACACAAGATAAAGATCAAAACAGGTTTAATTGGATGTGTTTCTAATAATCTACTTTCAACTGTTTTCTGTTTTTTACAATTGTCAAACCTGTTTTGATACATTCACTATCTTGTACAGTAATTTTGATTGCGATTATGCTCTCTCCTCGTTTAAATATTAATTTACGATTCCGAACGTGTATGTCATTTTTGAAAAGGATTACATAGGAGTCTCCTGCATAAACTTCCAAAGTACGTGTCATTTCTGATAAAGATTACATATTCAGGAAATCTCCTGCATAGATTTCTAAAGTGTTTGTCATTTCTGATACGGATCACATATTAAGGGAACCTCCTGCATGGACTTCCAAAGTGTATGTCATTTCCGAAGAGGATTACATATTATGGGAATCTCTTGCTTATTATATTAAGGGAGTTTTTTTGCTCTTAGGAGAAATCTAACCAAGAATACACCCTGGTTTATCTTATTAAGGCTGTAAAGTATTTGACAGATATAATAGCATTATCGGCAACAAATTTGAGCGATATACACTGTTAAAAATTACGAGCCACGTTGCACTAAAAAATTGCCATTAATTTGTGACTATATAAAATGGAGGTAATTTTACTATTTTTTTTTTCAATAACTGCAATTATTATTTGAAGGTTGCGCAAAAAGTAGGTGTTTTGAAGAAACAAAACACCTATTTTCTTTTTTTTAATTAAAGCACGGGATTTTTGCAACATTATTAGTTATTTTTAAAGCACTCAAATGCAAGTCAGGGCTGCTACTTACCGTAACAAAACTATTTTCCGGAAGTGTAGGTTATTTTGACATACATAGGGGAGAGTCGGGTAGCACCGCCACGCGGGTACCCCTGCCCACTGTCAATTTCAGATGTATAGAATATTTTTTCAAGTCAATGGGCCATCGGACATTAATTGTTATATTAAAAAAAGATTATTTTCAAAGTTTCAAGTATTTATGCAGCTGTTAACATGGTAAACAATAGTTTTGAAAATATGTTGAATACAGTAGTCATGAAATTAAGAAAAATTGGTTGAATGTTTCGATTCAACTTCATTTTAATGCCAAAAAAATAATTTTTTCTATACATACAGCATTAAAGTATGTAGTCTTAAGTTTAATTTGCACAAAGAAAGAAGTCTATCTGTGAAAAATTGTTCGAAAAATTACAAATTTGCAAAAAAAAATTGGATTTCGGGTAGCCCAGCTCACATGAATGTCGAGTATCACCGTCGATAAATGTGCGGTTGCAAAGATTATTATTTTATTGCTTCAAATTTGAATGTTATATGCATTTTTAACAACAAATATTGTTGTTATTAAATGATTGTTATTAAATGATAGAATTCACTAAAAGTATATAAATATGTAATAAATAAAATAATTTTGTGATAAAAATGATAAACGAAGTTTACCTATTGTCAATACATTGGTCATTTTCATTTACACCTGAAAAAACAGTCAAGAAACATAATTTTTGTAACTGGGCGGGGCTACCCGATGCATTTTGAAAAGAGCTGAAAAACATGCTTTTTTAAATTTCGATTTTTTTTAAGCAAAACTATTCTTTTTTTGGTTTATTCTTTTTGAATTATTTAATTAGATGATAAAACAATAGAAACATACAAAAAATATTGATTATTACTCAATATTATGCAGAAATATAAGCAATACTCCTTAACCCCTTGGGGACGGGTGATTCAGAAAAGCATTCGTACAAAATCAGAATCAAGTTGCAATTAAATAAAAAACAGTAACTTAAATGTAGTCGTTACTAATTTGACAGACTTACTTTGCTTTTATTTTAATTATTGTTAGTTTAGTCATATATATAATCAATGTTAATTCAAAGTATAACTAAATAGTTTTATTTTGAACAAAGTAATGGTGAATTAAATAAATCAAAAAATTATAACTCCGCCTACAAATAAACTGCTAAAGAAATACGTTGATTACCAGTTTTATCTTCTTACCCTGATTGATACGGTTTTTTGCTGTCACGTATTTGTGACAGTCGGCGCGAAAGGGTTAAGTAAACATGGCTACCCGACTCTTCCCTATATAGAAGTATTTCCTTAAACCGTTTCATATCACCAACCAAATTTAAAAAGCCAACATAAAAGAAATGAACTATAATTTGTGCAAATAAAACATTTAACTACCTAAATAAGTAGATACTTCTATAAACATACATTAGTCATCTTGATACACCGAGACCGAGTTGTAAAGAAAACATGGCGTCGTAAACAATTATCGTTCAATTTAGTCACCGTCTAAGTTTTGTGTCTTTTACCTAATTTTGGTGCAGTCAGTTTCACCATGGAATATTTCTCGATCATACTTCACAATTTATGGTGAAATTAAAATAAAATGATTTTTCACTTAACTAAATTTTTGGATAATGAAAAACTTAGTACGAAATACTGGTCAAAGATTTAATTTTTTTTTTTTTTTTTTTTTTTTTTTAAGTGTAATAGCATTTCTGAAAATGTAGAGATGTGACGAAAAACGCCACAAAAAGGGCTCTTATTTTTACGATTTTCCTGACTCCCATATATTGGAGGTTAGAAATAAGTCTTTTAAGAGAAAATAGTTTTTTTTTAAAAAAATTGCAATTCCGTAGTTTGAAATATTGTAACTAGTATAGCAGATGAGACCTCTTAAAAAAGTTTTACTCGCTTTTTAATACGTTAAAATCTTTACGTACGTCTAGTACGTAGATAAAGATTGTTTAGTACGCTAAAATTTGATGAGGTTGAAAGTTATTTACAGTTATTTCATTAAATTTTTTCTGAAACATCTTACTTCAAAGTCTCTCTTTTTAATTCATTTTAAAATAAAAACTTACCACCATTGTTATCGTACCTTTACTTCGTATGACGCTTTCCAACATTTGAACCTGTAAAAATGGAAACAATGAAATTAATACATAATAGAAAAAAGAAACAACTATTTAAATATTCTTTCTTTTTAACAACAAATGAATCGCATCCAATTTTACTCAAAACGAAACTGTTTGTTTTTGTCAAACATGTTTTAATGTGTCAGTATTTGAAATTGTAACTAATGTGAAAAATTAAGAGAGTTCTCAGATCTCATCGATTTGCCTTCCTGCGATTTTCTTAAATCAAATTTTGTAGGAAAGTAGGTTGATAGAATGCAAACAAATAAATAAATAAAGCCATTCAACAGTTGTAATAAATAATTAAAATTGTGAGTAATATTCGTCGTATTCTAAAAATTATGAAATAGTGGTAAAAAAATAGAACAAAAAAAATTAATAAGGGTGTGATTTGTTGTCGCCTCTTGTAGACATACCAACCTTCAACGTGATTTCACACTTGAATCCAGGCAGTTCAGAAGTTCCCGTAGATTTAAATTCAGCAATACTGTTTTCAATTTCTGGTTGGAAGTCGAAGGGGTGCCCCAGTTGTGTCCCAGGCACACTCTATAAAATTAAGATCTGGTGCTCGAACTGACCGATTGTTTCTACTTTACAGAAAATGGTCAACCAGATAAGTTCTATGTGGTTATGTAGTGCTGTCCATTGAAAATAAATTGAGCCCAACTGAACCCAGATTTCCTCGCTCTACCACTTTTGAATACATCGATGAATGTGCATCTCTTCTAAAACAACTCCGCTAAGATCAATTTTTTGAATATTGAAGGGTAAATAACGGGGATGTATATACACTCCCTGGACAAATTATAATATCTTATTTATCAGATGATACTATACAGCTTTATCGGTTTTATGTGACTGTTCGCACTTGTTTACGTTAGTGTATCAATTGGTTAAATATATAGACGATCTAGAATATAAATTTGACGATAGGATAAATTCGACGATATATTATATAAATATAGAATATTTATTACATCATGTATTATATTAGTATATTATAATAATTAGATCAAATTATTAGATTCATTGCAGTTTTTTTCATAATTAAATGATACTATACAGCTTTATCGGTTTTANGGTGGCTGAATTCCGCTTGGCCACCGGTCATGACTGTCTGCGGAAACATCTGTCTAGATTTGGTACCGTTCCTTCCGCGGTATGCACTCTTTGCAGTTCCGGTGAGGACATGGACTCCACGCACCTTCTCCGCTGCTCTGCAATTTGCAGGAATTCTATCACTGAACGCTATTGGGAAGCTAGAGACATGTTGTGATTAATAGACTCTGTTGCAGCATCTTTTGTTTCTGTTCTTATTTTTATAGATGTTTATGTATGATGTTACTGTCTACAATCTGCCATTGGAAATTGAGAAAAAAATATCGTTAATACGTAACCTAGATGAGATTTGACCAAGTTCAACGCAGGCAGCAAAAGAAATACATCACGTTTTTCGGAGATCAACATGGATTGGTATTCACAAAAATGAAAACTGTTTTTTTTCTTTCTGATAATGCTCCTGAGGCTCGTAAGAAATTCTCGAACAACTATCTTTTTTCTAGCTATTGTACGATGTCGTTTCAGCCATGAAAAACGCGTGTGGCTCAAAGTCTCATAGATTTTGCGATAAATTACAAAATGTGCTTAAAAAAACGCACTTATTTCTGATTAACGTTTAAGTTTTATATGTGTTTTCACATGGTTATATGGAAACAGATATTTGGCTTTGTTTTTTATTTTATAGCAGCTGAACAAATTTAAAATTTATGACTATCAATGTACTACCTATAAATTTTGAACCTCTAGATCAAGCATCTGGACTAACTAGCCCTCATGGACTATTTTTGAGGAAACTAACTCACATTTCGGAAACATGGAAACTGAAAACTTCCCACGTCTAGATATTTTACGCCAGCGCTTTGATGGATGCGAGCTGGGAGCAGAATTCGTATTTATCAAAAATTACTCAGATTTGAACCTGGGTCACCTCATTTGGGAGGCGAGTGCACTATCCCCTGACCCACAGCTGCTCTCATGATACGTTTGAAATTTTTGTTTTAGAGTTTAATGTTTGATCATTATGACATGACATATTTATGTGATATACACTGTGTTTTCACCGTCTTTAATTTACCTTTTTAAACCTCTTAGGAAAAAATTAGAGTAAAAAAATATTTTTAAGGGTTACAAACTAATACTTAATTTCTCCGGAAATTCAATCAATTTTGATGTGTTTAACCCTATTTTTCTCAAGAGTTATTCAATAGATTTAGATTAAGTTTTTGTTTTCTCTTTGCATAAATAATTAATTTGAAACTCCTATTGTCCGAGCTAGTTCGACTTCGTTTTTTTTACAAGGAATATATATATATGTATATGTATATGTATATGTATATATATATATATATATATATATATACATATACATATACATATACATATATATATATTCCTTGTAAAAAAAACGAAGTCGAACTAGCTCGGACAATAGGAGTTTCAAATTAATTATTTATGCAAAGAGAAAACAAAAACTTAATCTAAATCTATTGAATAACTCTTGAGAAAAATAGGGTTAAACACATCAAAATTGATTGAATTTCCGGAGAAATTAAGTATTAGTTTGTAACCCTTAAAAATATTTTTTTACTCTAATTTTTTCCTAAGAGGTTTAAAAAGGTAAATTAAAGACGGTGAAAACACAGTGTATATCACATAAATATGTCATGTCATAATGATCAAACATTAAACTCTAAAACAAAAATTTCAAACGTATCATGAGAGCAGCTGTGGGTCAGGGGATAGTGCACTCGCCTCCCAAATGAGGTGACCCAGGTTCAAATCTGAGTAATTTTTGATAAATACGAATTCTGCTCCCAGCTCGCATCCATCAAAGCGCTGGCGTAAAATATCTAGACGTGGGAAGTTTTCAGTTTCCATGTTTCCGAAATGTGAGTTAGTTTCCTCAAAAATAGTCCATGAGGGCTAGTTAGTCCAGATGCTTGATCTAGAGGTTCAAAATTTATAGGTAGTACATTGATAGTCATAAATTTTAAATTTGTTCAGCTGCTATAAAATAAAAAACAAAGCCAAATATCTGTTTCCATATAACCATGTGAAAACACATATAAAACTTAAACGTTAATCAGAAATAAGTGCGTTTTTTTAAGCACATTTTGTAATTTATCGCAAAATCTATGAGACTTTGAGCCACACGCGTTTTTCATGGCTGAAACGACATCGTACAATAGCTAGAAAAAAGATAGTTGTTCGAGAATTTCTTACGAGCCTCAGGAGCATTATCAGAAAGAAAAAAAACAGTTTTCATTTTTGTGAATACCAATCCATGTTGATCTCCGAAAAACGTGATGTATTTCTTTTGCTGCCTGCGTTGAACTTGGTCAAATCTCATCTAGGTTACGTATTAACGATATTTTTTTCTCAATTTCCAATGGCAGATTGTAGACAGTAACATCATACATAAACATCTATAAAAATAAGAACAGAAACAAAAGATGCTGCAACAGAGTCTATTAATCACAACATGTCTCTAGCTTCCCAATAGCGTTCAGTGATAGAATTCCTGCAAATTGCAGAGCAGCGGAGAAGGTGCGTGGAGTCCATGTCCTCACCGGAACTGCAAAGAGTGCATACCGCGGAAGGAACGGTACCAAATCTAGACAGATGTTTCCGCAGACAGTCATGACCGGTGGCCAAGCGGAATTCAGCCACCGCTGTTCGTCTTGAGCCATTTCGAAAATTTAGGATGGTAGGCCTCCAATACTTAGTAGAAGTACGGTCGATAAGTTCTTCATGATCACAGGTCTTAAAGATCCTCTTAATAAGCTGTTTGATGGAACAGAAGGACATAATTTGCGCTGCAGTCTGAATAATTAAGGCCCCCTTTTTTGCTAAGTAGTCTGCATTTTCATTACCCATAGCCCCGCAATGGGCAGGAACCACTGGAGAACAATGGTTTTCTTAAGGGATGTTCAAGTTGGAGGCAGCAATCCAAAATGTCTCGTGTTAAGGGATTATTTAAGAATGCAATGGCAAGCAAAGCTTGAGTCACATAGGACAACAGCTTTTTCAAAAAGATCGATATAACACTGTAACTGAACTATAGCTATTCGGATTTTATCAATCTGTCCATCAAAAGCAGATCCCTGTCTCACAGGGGCATAAAAGGAAAAAGCCTCGGAGAAAACTCCGGCACCAGCATTAGGACTGTCGTGTAGGAGTGATCCGTTGGTGTAGATCCGAAGCCACTCTGGCTCAGGGTAGTAAGAGCTCAATGCTTCATAACTCAAGACTTTCAAAATAGCAGGATCCATATTGCGTTTATTTACACTTTGACGTAAATCCAAATTAATTTGGAAATGTTTAAAAAAAAAAAGGTATATTTATTCGGAGAAAATGCGTTTTTACATTCGATTTCGTAACCTAATGCATAGTTATAATTAGAGTCAATTATTCAGAATATTTAAAGTTGTTGCATAAAACATTTAAACTACATGATGAAAGCCGAGCACTATATTTAACGTTATTTTGCGAATCACTGAACACAAAGAAAAAAAAAAGATCTACCCTGAATAACTTCTGATGAAATGATCGGATTTTCGAGTATGGTTCCAGGGGTGATCTCAAATGAGCTAATTAGTGAAAGAAAGCGATATTTTAAGTTTGGAAATCAGACACAAAAACGTACTTTAGCAAACATACTTTTTTTCAATTGTTTTGTATTTTTGACCCTCAAAAAATAGGGGGTAGTTGCAATCTGGAAAATATAGTCTCAATAGTTTCACCAGGAGAGTGGTCCAATGTTTTGACCCCTTAATGTAAATTTTTTTTTTTGCGTATTTCACCATATCTCAAGAATTTTTAAAGCGAATTGAAAAAATTTGCCCCTCAATTATAAAATTCTTTTATTCAAAGATAATTCTTGATAAAAAATAGTTTTTTATCAAGATTTATTACTTTATTTAGTGATAACGAATAAA